CCTCCTCCTACTACTACTACTGCTACCACTACCACTACCACTACCACTACCACTACCACTACCACTACCACTACCACTACCACTACCACTACCACTACCACCGCTACTACACTTCTACATGTACTCCTGCTGTTGCTGCTGCTATGTTCTTTCGTCAGCACTTTTCACAAGGACGGTTTCAGAACATGTGTTAAAAGTCTGGACACACACGCACGTGCACACATGTCTGTATATGTATATGTATATGGAGCCGGTTGAACCATTATGCTTCCCACAGGGCTGAGCCCCAAATCGCGCAACGACAGGACAGCTATGGCGGCACTGCCATGCACCGGGCAGCCTCCGGCCGGAACCAAGAAGGTCCGAACCAGCAAATCTCGTTCTTTGTGCATATATAAGGCTTCCAAAAACCTACGGGCATCGTAGTTCAGGGCCTCTTATGCTGAAGGTGTTACTGTCTTAAAGACTGGATCCCTTGTTTGCAAAGACGCCCACTATATATATATATATATACATCATCCGTCTATGGGTATGTGCACCATAAATGTATGCCACAGTCGTCTATTGAAGGCAGTTGCATAGTGCTGTCTCTCGCTCTCTCTCTCTCTCTGCATCTGCTTATATACAAGTTCGAACATGAATAAAGATATATATATATATATATATAGAAATAATGTATTTATACCTATGCATGCATGCAGAATTGCGGGATTGCCGAGTTCCAAGTTTGCCTATAAAGATTGTCGAACTGCCGGAGCCGTTTTAGGTTGGGCATAGTGCTTGGTTGCAGTCCGGCAGATTGTCGTTGGAGGTCGTGTCTCCGTTTGCCGTGTTACAATGAAACTTCTAGTTGCCGCGCTCGTAACAATCGTTTCGTAGTCGTAGTCGTATGTATGGTCGTAGTCGTGGTGGTGCTAGTAATTAGTAGTTGTAGTTCTGGCAAAAAATGGAGTAGTAGAAGCAGAAGTAGAAGTAGAAATAATAGTAGTAGTAGTAGCAGCAGTAGTAGTAGTAGTAGTAGTAGTAGTACTCGTAGTAGTAGTAATGGTAGTACTCGTAGTAGTAGTAGTAGTAGTAGTAGTAGTAGTAGTAGTTGTTGTAGTAGGACTAGTAGTAAGTAGTAGTAGTAGTAGTAGTAGTAGTAGTAGTAGTAGTGGTGTAGTAGTAGCAGTAGTAGTAGTAGTAGTAGTAGTAGTAGTAGTAGTAGTAGTTAGTAGTTAGTAGTAGTTCGTAGTAGT